AGAGATAAAAACAACGATAACACAAAGTAATCATTAAAACATTCAAATTAGATATAATATGTCTATAGTATGTTGGTTCATCATCCACTACATTATTATTATTTGCATGTGTCTATGATCAAAATAAGTCATATTTTAATAATCCACAATTTTGTGTCTCTATTGCTGATTACTGACAAGGCATTAATCATTGTTGCTTAAGTAAATTCTGCTAAATTAAATAATTCAGGAAAAGTGAGGTGGTCGAGGGGAACCAGAGTCTATGGTGGGTATGAACTATGTGAACTGTCAGGTTGAAAAACCCTCTGTCTAAATCCACTACGTTCAGTACCCACCATAGACTCTGGTCAGTCAAAATAAACATTTTGTACTTTAAAGCAGTAAATTTAAATGGTAATGAAAATAAATGGTTTCACTGTAGTTCTAACAGAGGAACCACAGTATTAGAAGCACAATATATAAGCCAGGTAGTCTCGTCAGAAGTCACACAAGTATACCAAAATACGTCAACTGACCTAACAGAGCATTTACGTACATATGCAAGTGCTTCTAATAGAATAAATACAAATTAATAAGCTTTGTTCAATCCTTAATTTATTCAAGTATCTTACCTCAAATTCATGTGCCACATGGAAAACAACTCTACCGTCCTCTGTAACATACAACAAGAGGTGTTTACAATGACAATGGTGATCATAATCCAACTAATTTGAAAATATATAAATATATGAAATAATATTCACGAGTTCACTGCATCTACATTAACTACACTTACTTATAGTGAGATTAGCCAGTTGTGCCGGTAGATCCAACGTCACTAATCGATGCTGTATTATTTGATTCAATCTGCATAATGTGGAAGACCTCTCATTGGTTGTTATAGGGTCGGGTGGAATGATTTTCTCCTGTGATGAATGAGATGAATATTTATGAGGAACACACCCAATTACTTTGAGCACATGTACAGTTCCCATAGTGTTGATGATATAAGTCAATACAAGAATATCTTGTCTATTTATAAGAGTACTGATTCTATGTTGACACCATACAGCACCCAGAATGCAATTGATAAAGTAGAAATATGTTTTCAAATTTCTTGTAGCGCCGTTACCTTGGAAACCTACACGCTCTAGTGTTTTAAAACCTTTCCAATTCTGTGGTTATCAGGGAGTTGATTTTGTCACATAAACGTTCAATACCACATCAGGAACCAGGGTAATTAAGCAGGCTAGAAATACCCCCATTGTCATACAGAAACCAGGCTTCAAAATAGTCTATAATTTCACTACTAAGGCTCAACACATCATAAGTTGCATATGTTAATGTCTTAAGATACCATAACAAGAATTTAGTATCTTTACATTGTAACAAATATGTACCATGTTCTTTTCCTTGGACAGCTTCAAAGATAACTAATTCTTTTAAATGGTAAGCCCTACTCTATTAGAATATGGCTCATATGAGTATTGGTAATATTGGGTGAAATTCCTGTGACAAACAAAGCAATAAGTAATAATAAGGAAGTATTACTGTTGGAATTCCTGAATGCATGAATTAAAGAAGCCAATAAACCATCATTTCCTGGTGAAGTTTCTTCACATGCAAGTTTATAATTAATAATACAAATGATGACTTTAATGCATTCCAGTAGTTACTTAAGGAAACTGCAATCTCACGAGAGATAAAATAAATTATAATGACCACTTACTTTAATACAAGTGGGTAATCTCGGGAATGAGCCAGTGGTTAACACGTCTACTGCATATGGAATACAGAAATTTGGAAGTCTGTAAACGAAACACAAAGAGAACAATATGAGACACAGCAAAGTCTGAATCATGTGCCACACATATCATGGTAGAAGGTAGCATGTATTTATTTTGTTTGACTGTCAATACCAGATAGGTGTTTTTATTTTGTTTGACTGTCAATACCAGATAGGTGTTTTTATTTTGTTTGACTGTCAATACCAGATAAGTGTTTTTATTTTGTTTGACTGTCAATACCAGATAGGTGTTTTTATTTTGTTTGACTGTCAATACCATATAGATGTTTTTATCACTGGACAACACCTTTGGTAGAACTTTTTGTGATTAGGTCCTTCAATATCACAGAAAAATAGTGTAAATGCAACCAACAACACTTACCTAGCATTGACAAGCACTTCTCTGGCCATTCTGGCCAACTGATCAGCTGTGTCCACAAACAGTGAGGATTGTTGATCAAGTAAATGCGCAATAGTCTGAATAAATAAAATTTAGTAGAATATATATTATAACAAGTAGAAAACAACTGTGTTCTTCCGTGGAATTTGAATCACTTTAAGGGTGAAAACTAACTTACTAATTTGCATAATTATTCAAAACAGAAATTATGATGAATAATTAACATGCCTATTTAAAACACTCAATGACAGAATGCACAATACACACAATTATTCATTATTTGACCAAAATCTGTCTATACACAAGTGAGATCCGGCTCTGGAATAGCAGAAATGGATGATTTTAAAGAATTTTTAGCACAGAAATGGCTGCCATTCAGTCGTCCTGAATTTGCTTCTATAAGAGTGACTTATTCAGCTAATGAAAAGTCTCAAAGAACATGGTTTTGTCAAACTGTAGGTAATACACATTATATTTTAGTTTCTGTTCATGCCTGGGAAAAATGAAAATGGACAGAATGGAAGTGATAACAGATATACTAATATTACAAAACAGGGATAACTGGGAATTAGATGTAACATATTCTATATGCTATATATTATATACTTCCACAGAAACAATGAACGTTGATTTTTTCTTTAGTTTTATAACCATTGAAAGGGGAGAATGGTGAAGCAGATGATTTAGACGTTAGAGAAGCATCCATATCGCAAGCCACTATGCCCTGCAGAGTTTCCATGAGTTTGGTGATTGAGGGGAGGCACATATCTCATCTACAGTAACAAATAAGAACTCACCCCACATCTATCAACTTTAGCTGCACTGTTAGCCCATTTGACTAATGCAAGCAATCTTACAAATTGTTGTCTTGTCCGACTAGCAAACTGTACAATGGCAATTTTCCTGCAAAATAAACAATTACATTTTGAATATGTGACAATTTATGTCAGAAATCACTTCCATATAGTATGCTAATGTAAATTGCCATAGTAGGTGGCAATAGTATGATCGCAAATTTTTGCAGAATTGTGACTGCCAGCCTAAAGTAATACTGAAACTACAGCTGTGGATATTACATAGTGCTATATTTTTTCTATTGGTGTTAATTTTAACAACAAAATCGGGAAGCTACATCATATCCAGTTCATTAAAACAAGAACAACAACGTACCTTTCCATATCACTCTTCCTCGGTAAGCTACAAGTATAAACAATATAAATAGTAATATCAATTGTTTATCATATAAACAGAATGTGTATCATTTATGTTTAGTGTGAAATATCAGTAACTGATACTTCACATTGAATGTGGTGATCATATGCACGTTAAGTTTCAAAGTCTTTCGTAAGTCGGTTGAATACCATAGTTGTTTTCTAATTGGAATTGAA